ATACGTGGAGGACGATGCCATATCAAAAGATGACACACTAATCACCATCAGCAGCAATCAAGAAATACAAGAGTGACCTGAAAAAGGCCATTAAGTTATGCAAAAGAAAGAATGTGGGGAGAACAAATCTGGAGAACGTTTCTTCTGAGTTTGTCCTCATAGACCAGGTACAAAAACCATGAGAAGGCAAACGTCGGGGTTGCACAGTCCTAACTGATAAAGATTTGTCACTGCGTGCCAGGTCTGGTCCTCAACCAAAATCCAACTTTGTCTCTGGCATTTAAAAAGAGCAGTAACAAAGAGGCTTGCTGATGGTTCAATTGCCAAAATAAACACCTATAATGCCGAGCTTGCCAAGGCAGCAGTAATATGGGGTGTTCAGTCAACTGAAAATTGTGATATGGCTTCTGCCCGAAAGAGCTCCGAGAAGAAATTATAGAAAAAATGGTCTATCACTTTCACCTTCATCCTCTGATACCAAATGATGCAAATCTATTCCTATCGGACAGTGAAATTTGGCTTTTGTCTGTACGCGAAATGTACGAGCTTTGCGTCCAACATGATCTTAAAAATGTATGGGCCTATTTATGGACGAACTGGTATCAAAAAGATCATTGGATTTTGTGGGCTCGAGCAGCACATTCTCAAAAAATTTGCTTATTCAAGACGATGACATGAGGTTTTTTACCGAAATTTGTCTGTCCCCGATTGGATTTGTGGTATTCTTACTACAAACTTGCCTTCTATCACATCATCAACGACGATACTATCAAATCGTAACAATGTCGGTAAACCGTCTCTTGGCGAAAGGACTTTAAGAAGAATGGAAAGTTCTCTCGAAACATGACAGGCAAATGGCTCAAGTCCATGTAATAGACGTAACCAGATGGATATGTAGCTGTCGGACGTTCTTATTAAGTCGTTGGCCAATCTGCTATCATTTGGTTCTCAGAGTACTGAATTTAAAATTAAATTTAGACTTCTTTACGACGGTAATTCGCCTATCGGCTTTATCAACTATGTTACTCATCTGCGGTATTACAACCAATTTTTCGCAATGTGGTTTATTATATAGTAGATTGGAATTTCATATAAACAAAACGATCTAATTATTATATGTTGTAAGGCGATATATTATATATATATGTATTGTTTACCAATTTTTATATATAAACAGCGGCTTTCCGACAAGCATTTTTTGCGGCCCACCATAGCAATAGCTACTAGTATCTAGTATCTAGTAACTTTAAAATTGAAAAGTACCAAAAGATAAAAAGGAAGGTCTACATAATAAAAAGGAAAGGTTTACATTGCGCAAATAGATGTTAGGTTGAGACAACAAACTTTAAAAATGTGGGTTCAATCTTTACAATATGTTAATTAAATCGATTTGCAAATGCTATTCTCAAAATATTTGTAACAATCGAGGTATCTATTAAGCAAACTGTGACTGACGAATATTTCTCCAGTGAAGCTGAATGTTTTTATAGTTTAACGGTTCACCTTTGCCTTTAATATGTATGCTCTTTGTCTATTTTGCTTCGTATCATATTGTGTTTTTCTCTCCCTTGGTTATAATGATCCTGTGATTGGCTCTGGGCGAAGGAAAAACGCGTCGAATTTTTTTAGTCATGATTTGTAGACGTGGAGATTTATTGATAACACGGCACATAATTGGCTGATCCATGACTCATCTAGTTAAACCGGCTTGAAGGAGGTCCGGTCATCGGTTAAATAACTATCCAGAAACGGGATAGTAACGTGACCATTAAATCTTGCGCGCATGCAACAAAGCTGATGATTGGCAGCATAACTTCTTTTTAAAAACTTTGAGACGAGGTCACTGTCTTATCAGATGATAAGCGTAAAGAATCTTATTAATTATGCGGAAAATAAGTACAAAAGTCGGGACCTTGCTTAGTATACATGATGTCTATGCTAATATACATAATTATTTTTTCAAATGGTATTCTTCATCTTTTTTTACACCACTTTCTCAGAAGTATTTTCAGAAAACTCGTTACTATTTATTACCTTGCCCCTATTCTTCCGGCAAGAATTTTCCCGATATCGTATCGTGCATTTGAAATACAGAAATTGGTGTAACAAGCCATCAGCCACTTAGTATGTTTGTTTTTGTAATTACTAAACGTAGCTATGCTCGTCGGAGGGTCAGGTTATTGGTTTACGTTATTATATTGTCTTATGGGATGGTTGCGCGAATTATAAGTCACATTACAGGTATCCTGTAGATTTTGTAGTTGACCTTCATCATGATTAGGTTGCTCAACCAAACGAATTGTTGTCCTTTCAACAATTTTCTGCAGAAATTGCAAGAGTGCAGAAATTAAACATTATATATATTATATACAAGAACTTGCCTTGGCTTTCCATGCCATAGTAATTACAGAAAGTATCATTTTTCTGAATTCTTTAACATTTGACGCGACGAAAAGAGATTTCGTGCATGATACAAGGCAAACGGGGGATTTCTGCTAATCGAAGGTTATATACACGTATATCATATAGTCAATCACTTTGGATAACGAATGCACAAAAATCGCTTATTTTGTGAATCGCAGATAACAATCAATTATTAGTAAAATACAGTACTGGTTAAATTTGTTGAACCTTTGATTCTACTATGTCAAGCATATGCACTTTCTTTTTGCACCTGCCTCAGAATTTGAGGAGTAAGTGGAAGCTGTGACATTGGTTACAAAAATTTATTTTCTTCGGTTAATGGTAAATTCACTATGACCGTGTCTAGAATAGCGGTTAACCCAGGATTTAATATTACTCTTCGGTATATCGGGATGCTTCTAATAGGTTTGGCAGCGTCCTTGGAAATAGTTCGTTATAACGGAATATATTCGTCATAATGAATTCGTTATAATGGGCCTTTGTGTACAATACGCATACGTATCTGGCTGGTAATCTAACTGCCATAGGCTCTAGATAACCCAAAGTACAGAGTAAGACATAAATACAATGGCATCAAGCGAAAACTAAAAACATACCAGCATTGAGAAACCGATTATTTTCAATTGTGGGGTTTACATTTATCGTGATCAAAAGTTGGGCGTAATTGATTAAACATATCCTTTATCAATTTCGGCATTTTCAAACCTCTTTCCCGCTCTAACCTCCAAACTGTCGACTCGCTTCTGCGCACCCAAAGTCAGTTGTAATCTTACGAATTGTCATATCGCCTTTCTTTCAATTATCTTTTTTTTTTTTTTTTTCATATCTTCTATTGCAGGTACGGTTCTCTTATTATTTGTTCTTGCTTGGCGTTTAGGCAGGGGTTTATTAGCGAGATAAACCTCTTTTTTGCCGCCTTTCTTCTGCCAGTTCCTCTCTTATTTTTGACAAACCGTGATCTTAAACAAAATATGAAACGCGAATATTCCACGTGATTCGTAGGGCCATCGTCATAGTTGGAGTTTTGCGTTCCTTTATTTAGAGTTGCACCTTATCGTCATAGTTGGCAACGGGTGGGATAACATGCAACGCTATGCTGAATGCTGAGACATCAAGCCACGTCTACGTCCATGTTAACTTTGCCTTGTTTGTTGCAAAACGCCCCGCATAATTCGACAGCACGGATTAAGAGATGAAACGTCATATTCCGTTCAAGATGTGTCAATGTGTTGCTCTAATTAATGAATGTAACACTATATTGATAAGCACACATTAAACTTTCAATACAGATATCAGTGATAAACAAAAAATGCTGCATCACGTATAGCTGCATCATGAATATCTTGCCGTATTTAAACTCCAAAAAGACTGCTCATTTATCGTTTGATATACTGTTATTATTATGCTGAGACACAAATTCCGGAAGCGTCGCAAGGACAAACCCTGATTGATTACAAATACCAGTTTCTGCAAAATTAAGTTGCTCAAAATTGCTATTGTCGCCAGTCAGAGGAGATACAATACATGATGGGGTTGCTGTGATTGTGATTTATTTGTTGCACACGACCCACAGTATGCAAGAACATATGTTTGGTAGTCCCATATGCATTGCCTCTGTCTGTCGGTGATATGAGTTTCCGTAATATCTTTTGATACTAACTAATACGGACTCTAAACAAAGCGCTATATACAGTTCCAAAGCGAGATATATTATGTCTGTTTGTGAATAGTCGACTGCATGGACAGTGGGAACGATGTCATTGAAATGGTTATTAGGGCTACCTAATAGGTAATTCTGGCCCAATGTCAAAGTAACTAAATTTAGTCAATGTATACGGAGAATATTCTGCTCCCTGTAAGTTTGGCTATAAATAAGAATAACGTAGAGTTATTTTGGTTCCACGCATGTACATTTGCAACAATGAGGATATATTTGTACGTATAATGGAGGGCTTATCGCTTATCTAGTAACATGTTAGTCAAAGTTTGTTTTAAAAGAGCAAATAACGTCGGCAAGCGAAACTATCACGAGGAAAAAGCCTTTACTTGGTACATTCTCTACCAAAGTTTAGGGCCGTAAATGACACGATTGCCGATCAAAGGGAATTAACGTATTGATAATGTATTTATAGTGATAAAATCCCAACTTACCCGTTTACAAACTTTGCCCATTGGATCACGCAAAGATCCGCATAGCCGAAAATAGTCCGTTATCACAGCATACAGTATATTCGATTGTATGACCAAATTCTATTTGCCTATAAATTGTTCAGCCATATAATAATAATTGCCCTTCCTTTACTTTATTACAAGCTCTTACTCACTATTTATTCCTTTTGACCTTAATTTAGAATAGCAGAATTTGATTTTACACTCAATACGACTTTTTAGCCTGCTATAACAATCAATGAGCATAGCAGTAGCGGGACATTATCAGAACTCTTTTATTCAGCATTATAAAGAAGGCAAACCGCTGATACAAAGTAGATTTTGGAGTAGTTCACCTCACTATTAACTACAGAAACTTAGACATCGACATATCCATAGAATATTATTAGTATCAATTGTTGATCATAATGTTTCGTAAAATTTATAGAAAGTTGGTAAACAACGACTCAACGGCAGCGAATAGGGTATAAATTTGTACAATCAATCTTGGCATTATTATGTATGACTGAAGACAATATTGACAACATTTTCACTTTGTTAGACTATTCCAAATGGCGGAAACAAAAAGCAGAAAATCGTCAGGAAGAAGAAGAAAGCTCCCAACAAGAGAGGTCAACCCGAAGCTACGCCTATTCCGCCACAGAAAGATGGTATTTTATCAGATGCAGAGTCAACAGCTGAGACACAATCATCTCAAGCAACACCGACGCAATCTCAAGCACCACAACGACAGGGTGCCAGCCAACGAATAGCGAGGAGAGCTAGATCAGGCAGAAGAAGCGTTCGCCGAGTACCAAGCCTACATCGCTCACGGACCGACAAAAATAACACTGTACGGGGTGTGGAAACTCCTCGCGATGAGCCTCCTCTTCCTGAGCCTCCTATTCCTTATGCTTTTCCGTATCAGCCAGTTCCTAAATCCGTCAGCCAGCAACCTCCTCAAAGCACTTATCCAATAATACCAAACAGAGTTTCGTCCCACTTTCTCACGAACGAGAGTACTACATCTTCACCCACATTACATGTCTATAGACGACGTAGTGGAGCACGAGGCGATGAAGATGATCAACCATACAAGAATCCATCCGCATCGACCAGCTCACTGGCATTGAGTATTGACTGCGAGTCGGTCGATAAAGCTCTGCCAGATGAGCCGTTCCTGATAACGAAACTCAGGGATATTGATGAGGGAATAGAACAAGCAGAGTACAAATATCAAGAGACACCAGTTGAAGAAAAAGGAAATAACGATTCAGATACAAAAGAAGATTTGCCAGAAATGAGACCTGCTATAAAAAATAGTAACCAAATATCTTCGAGCGAAATATCCACATCCACAAGAGAATCCTCTGAATCCTCTTCCATACAACCGGCCAATTTATCCTTACCCCCAACGCCTCCTCCAGAGTCCTCGTCACTTTCCTCCATCGTTATTGACGAATCAAAGGGTCATACTGAATCTTCACCAGTATGCCCTCCACCCAAAACGTCCTCTATTGCCGGTCTCGCATCTACATCCCATACATGTCCGCTCATATTCACACCAGACTCTGTGCCACAACATCCAACTTGGTGCCAACAATGCATGATAAATGAGTTTCGTGATAACTTTTCTTCATGGACTTCTGGAAACGAGTTCATGGACGCATTTATACGACGATCACAGTTGCGGGCAAGGAATTCTCATGCGTATGCCGAATGGATTTCGTTTGAAGAGTTTGAAGACGTAAAGTTTATAGGACTTGGTGGATTTGGGGCGGTTTATGAAGCGGTATGGACAACTGGGCCCAAGTGGACTTGGGTTGTGGAAAATGTAGAGGTGGAGGGACGTGCGATGAAGGCTCGGTGGCAACGAATGGGTCCCCGAAAGGTTATCCTGAAACATTTGAATTCTTCCAGGGACATTGGTCCGAAATCGTTTAACGAGGTTGGTATTTCAGGTCTATTTATTGATTATTTGCAATCGTTTTATATGTCATTACTCAACTCCCCCCTCCCCCCCTCTCCCTCTCTCCCTCTCTCCCTTCCCCTCCCTTCCCCTCTTTCTCTCTTCAACCCGTTCACTACCACCATACTGTATATGTGTATAGCTTTCTATGTACTTCCGTTCACTTGCACCTCATCCACAACTGCTCCACTGCTTTGGTGTAACAAGAGCGTTAACTAGTGCCGATTACATGTTTGTTCTCGACTATGCGGACATAGGAAATTTAAGACAATGTCTAAGTAAATCCCACAACCAGCTTGCTTGGCCGGATCGTTTATTAATGTTGATAAAAATTGCAACGGCACTGGAAGCTATGCATTCTTGTGGGATTGTTCATAGAGACTTGCATTCTGGCAATATCTTGTTGATAGATTCAAATGGCAGTGTGCGCGTCTGCGTTACAGATATAGGATTATGTGTGTCTATGAAGAATGTAAAGAAAAATGTTGATAATGAGGAAAAGGATGTTGACGGCGATAAGGATGAGGATGATAACGTCGATGAAGATTCGGACGTAATGGGTGTAATGCCATACCTAGCTCCTGATATTCTTTGTGGGGGTTCATGCGACGCTGCCGCCGATATGTACAGTTTTGGTGTGGTTATGTGGGAATTTGCAACTGGAGAGCTTCCTTTCGCAGACATTCCACACGATATAATGCTCGCTAAAAGAATCACCGAAGGTCTTCGGCCAGAAATTCCTGACCATGTTCCTACTTGCTATTCAGAGTTGATTATGGATTGTTGGAACGATGATCCAGACAAAAGACCAACTGCAAAGAAGATAATTGAAGTATTGAAATCATGGCGTGCGACAATATTGGAAGGAAATGCTTCGAGCGTAAAGAGTATGAAGAGAATTAGGCTCAAGGAGGCGATTTTGAGCCAGTTTATGAGTGCTGATCTGCATAGGATTGAGATGTTGGAGAATGCAGAGGAGGATAAAAAGGACTTCATACATCCAGACGCAATATATGTTTCGAGAAAGTTTGAGTTTCACAAGTCGCCCGAATTCTTTATGTAAATGAGGGGAGAGAGAGTCATTGAGTAAAATGAAGTAATTACTATGACTTAATCTCCATTAACGTCATTTCATTATCTCTTTTTTATTCAGATAAGTTCCGTTTGAACATTGTAATATAACATCATTCATTATTACGTTTGTAGGTTCACTTATCTTGTATGTATATATACTAGTTTTGTCTAATTGAAACCTTTACTATTCCAGTGAAGTGAGAAGCCATAATGTATTCAATGATATTGGAATATAAATATATCATAAAATCGATTTTAAATAACGTGACAAAGTTAACGAAAATGGAAAGTGGGTAGCGCGTGAGCAGGGTTGAATGCGTCAGCATGCATATTTTCAAGTCACTTGCATTTGTTGTCATTAATACGTTGTAGTTTGTTAGCCTATTTGCGGATAACTATTTTGGTGCTCTCTACAATGATTACCAGTGCAATAGTAATTTTTAACGTCTTATTCTTACGCCTATGGTAGTAAACAAACCCTCGTTTAAACGATCAGGGTATTGTTCCGTGTCATTGATTGATTCTATTTTTATGTTTGTCGAAGCAAGCGGGTTTGTGGCTTATTGCGTGTGTAACAGAGCTAATCCCTGATAGTAATGTCAAGGTCAATATATGACATCAGAGTCAGTAATTCTCTCGCAAATGAATTACAAATTACCCAATCATCTGTGTCTCGTTAACAAAAAAAGGGATACGAGACCCATTATTAAAGATTTGCGTAAGGGTCCATCTAAATATGTGGGCCCATTAGCGCACAGTAATTATACAATACATACATTCTTACCGGTTCATATTGTACAGAAGCCTAATACTAGGCCAATCAATGTCAGATATGCTCTTTCCTTAACCTTCAGCGAGACGCCATCATGCATAAGCGAGAGCAGATGAGATCAGCGTTAACGTGTGGGAAATCATGGGACTATGCGGTAATGAAAGGGTAGGGAATCTGAAATAGTATTTAAACAATGACAGAGAGCCTGGGAAAAAAGAGAAAGAAACATCCTCGTTATCCTTAAAGTCAACCACCATAGACAACATACAGAACGCATACAGAACGCATACAGAACATACAGAAACATAGATAGATAAATATATAATTAAACCGATATTAAACTAACATTCTAAACATTTAATTAAGTCGCTTGGTATATCCTATACAATATAATACATAAAACTCGCACACAATATACAGAATGGACACGCAATTCTTCGTATCGGCCCCGCCTCCAGCGGATTACATACAATCTTCTCAGCATATGTTCTTCTCTTATCTTCCAGAGAACGTATCCTTCCAGTCGGGTTATCTTGGTATAACACATACAACAGTTTCAGGCACACTTCACGTTCGGTTCCCGAAATCAATAGAAGCGAAATCAATCACCCTGAAATTTGTCGGCAGAGAAGTAGTCGAATGGTCAGACATGAAAAAAGCACGCGGGGAAAAGATTATACTAGATAAATCAACATACCTGTGGCGATCGGATAGTGGTGTTGGACATCAATTAATCACAGATTTGGATCTTCCATTTGAATTTGCCGTACCAAACGATGCAATCGAGAGCTTTGACGGAAGATTTGGTAGCGTTACATATACGCTACAAGCAACAGTGAACACTAAACCAAAGAGACTTAATACATGTTGCGAAGTAATAGTGCCCCTATGGAGATGGACAAGACCGAACGAAGAAGATTTGCGTCCACTGGTCATCAAGTCTTCGCCCAAAAAGGCGAGAAAGGTGCCTCTTTCATGGCAGGCTATATTACCGCAAACGTTTTTTGATATCAATTCAGAGATATTAGCCAGATTGCGATTCGTAGCCCACATTCCTACATTGAAAATACGCAAGATCACTGCCACACTCAAAACGATTACTTCTTATGCTCTCGAAGATCGTTCTGTTATGCCAGTTCAAAAGTCAAAGCAACAGGCCAAACATATAATACACGGAAGTGAAATACTAGCAAATTCCATGGGGCCAGAGACAGTATTTGAAGCCAGTGTTGGGGTAAAGATACCTGCTTCTATTCTGCCCACGATCAAGACCAAATATATCACAGTGACGAATCAGCTAGAGATTAAAGTAATGTTTGAGAGATCCAAGCATCATGTGCTTATTGTAAAGGATGTGTTTATCGGGCGTAGATGGATGGGAAATGGCGAGTTTGAAAGGTTGGAAATTGACTTGAAGGAATGCGAAGAGGATGAACCATAGGCAACGGGAATGGTGAAATATATTTATATAAACTTAATGAAACAGCTTTTTTTTTCTTCTCAGTTCAACACTATACTATTATTCAGAATTATTAATTGTTGTATTCATAGTAAGTACTATATACGTACACACATATATATATCATGCAATGTCTCTCCTTATGTATTATATATTATTATCATATGTTAAATACAGATGCACAAGCGTATCAGTGAAAACTTTGTGTGCACTTATGTCGCTCCGCTATATCGATAATGAGATTGCCTACCTTTGCTAACAATGTCAAGTTGAACGTCATCAGCGCATCCCTGTTGCTTGATAACTGCACTTGGAGCTCGCTAACCATTTGAGATTTGCAATATCCGTGCTGTGGAAATAATGATTGGTGTAGTGTTATAACCACTTGTTAGCCGTTCAATCCTCAATCTCCATAACAGTTTCAAACAGTAAACTTTTAGGATCAAATTTTCCTTTATTATTGATAATGGTCTGTCTATTATTCTAGTGATAATCAAGTATAATTAACTAAAGTTCATCTTTAACGTGTTTGGAAGGCTCATCTTCAACGTGTTTGGAAGGCTCATCTTCAACGTGTTTGGAAGGCTCGTCTTCATCTAACTCAAACTCCTCGTCCTTTGACAGTTCTGCCTCTAACTTCTTTTTTTCTTCTTCATCTAATTCAGGGGCTGGTTCCTCGTTAACGACGGCCTTTGCCTCAACGTCGACACCCAAGTTTTCGCGTAATACTTTCTCAACCCGGGATGCATATCTGGCATTTGAAAGCGATAATGATGATTAACATAAAAGAAACGCACGAACGTTATCTCGAATTTCAGCATAAACCTAAACTTACTTTATATTATCTTTCAATTGATACCCTGACCTGATAAGATTTGTCTCATACAGGACATGAACCATTTCCTTAGTTGTATCGTCAAAACCCGATTTAGCTTTCTCCAACAGACCCAAAATCAATGGATGATTTGGATTGATCTCTAAGATTTTCTTTTGATTTGCATAAAACCTGGACATAAAGTCGTCTTCTTGCTTGTATGCTTGGGCTTTTTTCAAAACGTGAGAAGAAAAAAAAAGCGTTAAATTATGTAGAATAATCCGTAGTAGTCATTGAGCAAGACTTACCAGACATGATTTTGTGCATGTTACCCGTCCATCCATATTCGTGTGCAATGACTGCGCATGGAGATACCGTCAACCGGTTCGAGACGTCGACTAGAAAAATGGATAAATACATGATTAGGTGGCTTACATTTTAATACAAGCGTTGCGAATGCAATGGTTTCATATTATGTAACAATTAAAGATTATGTCTTTTACCTTGATCAACAAATTCCGCTAGCGTGTTCTTCAGTTCGCTCACCAATACAGAGAACTTTTCTTTTAATAATTCCTTTTCTTTTTTTGAATCGTCGGTTTCATCACCAAACTTCAAATCGCCCTTTGCAATGTTTTGGAACATCTTCTCTTCATACGCAGGCATATGTTGTACTAAAATCTCATCTATCGGCTCGGTCATGTACAACACTTCATATCCCCTGGCAACCAGTCTTTCCAGGAACGGACTCTGTTGACACTCTTCGACGGACGTACATGTCACAAAATAGATAGAATCTTGTCCTTTTTTCAATCTTCCAATGTAATCATCCAGAGATGTCGCGTTAAGATTTTCCGCTGAAGTAGGGAATCTCAAAAGCTTGGCGACTTTTTTTCTATTTCTATTATCCTCGATAGCACCAAGTTTGAGACTTGTCCCGAATTCTTTCATAAAGGTAGCATATTTTTCTTTATCCCGTGACAAGTTGGCAATTAATTCAAGTATTTTCTTGACGATTCGCCTTCTTATCAATTGAAGTGTCTTGTGTTGTTGGAGTGTTTCGCGAGATACATTAAGAGGAATGTCATCGGCGTCAATGATGGCACGAATAAATTGGAGATATTTTGGGATAAAATCGAGAAACTCGTCGGTGATAAAAACTCGCTTGACAAACAACTTGATATTCCGAGAGTAGTCTTGAACTTTTTTGAACATGTCTGCTGGCGCTTTCCCTGGAATATAAACAATCGAACGGAAGTCTACCTCACCTTCAGCCTATGAGATAAAAGTAAATAGTTAACAGCAACACATCACACATTGCATTATATAGGAACCAAAGGTATAAATATACTTTACCTTAAAATGAATCCATGCTAGGGGTGTGGAACCTTCGTCTTTAACAAGGGAGTAGTAAAATTCTTCGTACTCTTTATCGGTAACGTTCTTAGGATCTCGAGTCCAGATAGGCTTTTGAGTATTCATTCGTTCCCATTCTTCTACTACGACTTCCTTTGTCTTCTTTTTTGGTTTACTTTCTGCCTTATCCGTCACATCTTCCACCTCGAGGTCCCCTTTATCGCTTTCGTCTTCCTTTTTATCTTTTGTGTCTGCAGATTTATCATCTTCCTCTTTTTCCTTTGTGTCTGCAGATTTATCATCTTCCTCATCATCAACTTCTACAACTTCTGTTCGGTGCACGTTCAAATAAATCGGAAAATTTATAAACTCGGAATATTTTTTGATCAAAGTTTGTAACCGCTTCTCTTCCAAATACTCGGAGCCATCCTCTTTGATGTATAACTTAATCTCTGTGCCTCTTCCAAGTGTATTTCCTCTTGGATCTTCTGTAATAGAAAAGTCATTCACAGCTTTACTCTCCCAAATGTATTGTTTATCATCATTATGCTTGCTCGTAACAACGACTCGATCGGCTACTAAGAATACGGAATAAAACCCGACACCGAATTGGCCGATCAAGTTCATATCTGCTTTTCCCTTCTCCATCGCGTCTAGAAACTCAGATGTACCCGATTTAGCTATAGTCCCGAGGTTTTCCTTTAGATGTTTCTTTGTCATTCCGATTCCCGAATCCCGAATAGTTAGGATACGATTAATTGGGTCGGCTTTTACTGTTATGTTCAAGTTGGGATTTGACGAAAGTGCATTGGGATCGGTGAGCGACAGGAAGCGAATTTTGTCGATTGCATCGGAAGCTGGGTTAGATGTAGACGAGCGACAGAACAATAGAATCGGTGAGTGTAAATCAAAGTATTTTACAATAAACAGAATGTGGATTTGTTTGGTAAATTTCAGTACCGTTTGATGTTAATTCACGAAGAAATATTTCCCGCGTTTTATACAGAGAATTTATTATAATCTTCATCAATCTACTCACTTCTGTCTGCAGTTATTGTTAAGCACATAAAAACTATAAATTATTACGTATTTTAAAATATTGTGCGCGTATTCTGTTCGTAAGTAAACAACAATCAAAAATTCCTGTCGCAATATAGCACCTGAAATTCATAAGTCTCTGCTTTCGAGCTCTCGGATCCATCAGACGTAAATCCTTGATAGGCGGAATCATCCTGTACTTTCAGCGGATCTTCATCAGCGTTAACGAATATCAAGCAAACCGTGAATATGGCAACAGCAAAAAGAAACCATAGTTTTCGATTCATTGCGATGAAAACAAATACGATAAAAATTCGTCATGATGCCCTGGTATATATATATAATAATGGCGCTACACAGAAATTTTAACCAGTGATACTTTGCCACGACTGCACCCCTATGATTTGCATTTCTATGGTTTTCTATTTATTAGTGTCAGTGACACCGACAGTGTTATTGTTACCTCAAAAAGAGTTTACGGTCCGAAACAAATTCTAATTTTATCAAAAAGGAACTTGTAACAAAGCAAGAAGTGAAATCAACAATCACTTCGTCAATCTTGCCTACTTAAGAAACAGGTTATAGTCGAACTGAGTGAGGGCTTGCATACTTTGACAATTCCATAATCTAACAACGCTTCAAGCATTTGATCGATTGATAATAGATTTTGCTAAACATCTCTTCTGTGCATTCAATAAACTTGCTGCATGTTCTTTCCTCTTTAATTAATAATGTGCATTCTCATTCTTGTGAAAGGCAATGAATGGTCTGTCTGCAAACCTTAATAATTTGGTTTCTCCAATAATTTTTAAATACGTTTCATAGTAACATTAATTAATCATGCCTTTAATAGATTAGCCAATGGGATACAGTATGGGGAACGAGTTTTTTGTATGTACACGTATAGTAAATTGTATTATACGTTAACGGAGATAGACACAATGTTGGGAGAAAAACGAAGGTTCCTTAAACACACTTTGCCTTTAAAAACTTCTGGACAATACTGTGACAATACAATAAGACCATCTATCGTACTACTTGCGATCAAGGTAATTATCGTTATTATTATCCTTTCTATTTATATTATCGTTACTATAATTTATAATTAAGCTTTTTATTTATTTTATAGACGCATCATAAAGTCGGTATGATTGTTATCTTGATAGCCTACTAACTTTTTGTCTAGTAACATTGATATTGTTAATTTGTATACAAGTCTTTTTGAAGGAGTTGACGTCTTTTGTGTCGACATGTGTGTTCAGCTTTTGTTCTCGACTAAGAGCATAGTTCCACTATTAGAGAAATGTGAACTCAGACATTGCATGATTCTGATGAGGAATGTGAATAACTCAATATTTAATATCGCCATTGTCCTCCTCAACAATGTCAAACCCGCGACCCGAAGTATTAGTTAATATGGATATTCAAATCGTCACGTTGGCAACAGTTATGCTTAACAAACCATTAACAGGTATATGAATTTCATGAGCATTGGGTTCTTGGTTGGTGGGTTATTAGTGATTGACGACGAAAATTGATTTCGCGTCTTTGAAGAATCAAGCCAGCCGTTATGGTTGCGACCCGCGACCCACAATGTAAATGTAGTGTAATGTGTTCATCAATTTACCGAGTTTGCATATAATGTCACAACAACCAAGAATCTAAATTACATGTAACTGTTGCCAACGTGTATGCAAAAAATTGACACAGAATATTAAGTACGATTTGAATATGCATGAGTGGCTTTGATGTAAATTAGTTCATATTTTTATTTTTTATATATTAATATACATAATACTATTAATCATGTATAATTTTAGATAGTAATAGTAATGGAAGTTTGCTACATAAATTTGTGTACAAGTTATTGTTGTGATGATAATAATCAAAATGTTAACAAAATGTTCACTTTGTCTGGTTTTGTTGCAGTCTGCCCCATATTAGAAACACTGCAAGTATGGTCTCATATATTAACGAAACATTTGTCCATATTATTATAAAATTAGGAAGGGTAAAGTGAAGGTGCGATATAATAATAATGCCATATTGTCGTCTTCTGTATGGTAAAGGCTTCGTACATGATATTAACTGTGTTACATTACTATTACGTACAAGCATATGCCGGCCGGAAGACGCATTACGTAAAAAGCACGAATAGTACAAATTTTAACTAATCAGTGTGCGCGTTTGCACATTCGCGTCGAACGGTAAGAATTGTATACACATATCCATGGATGCGCTTAAAGAATTAGAGGATACTTTGGAGAAAACGAAAGTGAGTTGCAAGCATCGCGCTGATACGTGACTTGTCTTTGAGGTTATTCTAAAAAAGAAAACACACGTTATTGCAGGTCAACGTGTACGAGACCATATTAAGGTGACTTACAACCTTCCTTGTGTTTATAAAACACTCCCAGCCTGGAATTACATTCAATTTTTATTTGCAGTGACTTTAGCGTTGTAGACTTGCAAGAAACAGTAAGCCCAGCACTAGAAAAACTTAGGACACAACTGGCTAAATTACAGGCAATGCATCGACCAAATTTACCGGAACTTGTTCTCTTACTTCTATGTTGAAACTAAATACAGTTCATGCTTTAGACAGATGAATGCGTCTCGAATTCAAAAACGGATAAAAAATTAATTCAAAGACGGGTCGATGCTGCCGACTTTACCTTATCGATGTTGCTGAACTTGGTGAAGGTACGGGAACTATGATAGGCAAACAAAAGAAGGAACAGAGTTACTCATTACTTGTGATTTCAGCTTCATGCTTATCTCGAAGAATATCAAAATCTGATCGATACTGGCGAATTTGGCATTGCCGCAAGTTCACTTAAAGAAATGGTTGATTTATAATTTTAGTGGTGATTTCCTATGGGGTTTGCAGTATGGTCCTAACCCTAAATTAAACTTTAGCGTGAGATGCTTGATAACTTATCATTGGAAGGCGAATATGGATGCGATCCTTCCATATATGCACTGATAAAGGTATGTCTATGACGTATTAATAATCGCGCATTCAGTCACTTGCTAACTGTTGCTCATACACTATTTGAACAGGATTCCTTCTTGAAGAAGCGTAGTGTACTCATCCATTATATAGACGAATTATTCTCAGCTTCACTGTCCATTGCAAATGATAACAAATCTGCTGAAATTAGAGTTGCATTCAGTGTCAAAGGTTGGTTATTCTTTGAATTCACTTGTCATGATGTCCATTTTATCTGCTAAAACTTTCCCAAACACATCAGCTTCTTGTGTGCGAAGTTCAACGGAAACTTCCATACCGCTCTCTAATATCTTATCCACCTTATCGTCAATGGGATGTTTGAAGGCAAAACTGAAGGGATTTTCGAATAAGCTCCTAGAATATGTAGTGGCGCCAATCATGAGCGAAACAGGCTGCGAAATTAAGGTTTCGAAAAACGGCAACAGCGCTATGCTTTCGTGCAATAAATCCCCCAAGCCTTCGGAAACAGTAACTTTGGGTAAATTCATTAAACACGTATCCCATGATTAATTTTACTTTGAAATCATCAATATCAATGTTTTACATATTAGGCCTTTCACAGGTTTTCACAAATATGCTGATACTTGCTCGATTCTTGAACGAATATGTCTTCAGCAAAAGTACTGCTACGTCTACAAACGGGGCTTCCATTATAACTGTGTTTGGGGAGATATGGTGGCATGATATATGGAAGCATCTGGCGAATTGCTTTCGAGTTTTCATACCAAATGACAAAGTACGTTCGAATGAATATGATGAGGTTGCGACGACAGCAATATCATTTGAAAGAGAGATGATGGCAGTAGGATTGATCCCATCAGATTGTTACGCAATAAGTCAGTTTGCGCAAAACTTTCAATTTGAATTTGTAAAGAAAAGACACGCAGACATCTTGGCAATAGCAAGGGAAATTTTGGTTAGTCAAGATATGAATACTGCGGAAGTGACGAATGCAACTGAACGAGGTAAGAAGCTGTTAAATAACCAAAATATGTTTATTCAACAAAACCGAGTATACAATCATAAAGTTTGGATGTTCTTATAGGTGGCTTGGGTATTGCGAGCGAGACCAAAAATATTCGTGACAAAGAGAATTTTAACGGCGAAAAGGATTTTAATGGAAAAACCAGATCATCAACATGCGAGGGTTTACTGCACCTGCCAACATGCCATATTAGCATACAAGCACAGACATTAGTGGAATTAGTTTATCAGACTCTAACCGAAGCAACAACATCCAAGGATAACGCGTTAGTAAACTCAGCCTTCAAGTATTTTGAAGATCTCAAATTCAGTTTGGTTAATGTCTCCAATTTTATTTTTATTTGTAGAGCTGTAGAGCTATACTGCTGTGCGAGGGACATAATAGATCTTTTTCGTGCCGTTGTTCCCATTCACCAAGCGGAAGTTTTAGAGACAGATCCTACGCGTACTGCTATCTTCTATAACGATTGTATTTATATTAGTTACCACATGCTAACACTCGGATATCAGTTCCAAAAGGAGCTTCCAGCATCGTTACAAAAATCTGCTACTTTTATTGATTTAATACCACACTTTCAAAAGTTAGGGGAGAAGTATTTTAAACATCAGATGGTACTATTTCTATATGCTTTGCAACTTGCTTAATATGAATTAGCATCGCGCAACTCATTTTTATTCATGCGGCAGAGACGGCAACGAGACGTATTATTGAATACATTAAAAGGAGCTGAAGGATTCTACGATCTGAATGATGATAAGAGATTCGAAAAGGTTGAAAAAACTATCAGACAGTGTTATTACCAACTAAATCACTTGTCAAGGTCGTGGAAGGTAGGTTTTTCTAGTATATGTACGTGATTTGATAAAACATATGCTGATGGATTTTCCTGTAAAATATCAAAAGCAAATATTGCCGACAGAACTGTGTTGCAAATCTCTGGGCATACTTGTTGATACTCTTCTTGGGGGTATCATTGGAGAGGTGGAAAATTTAAAGTTAATAGCACCAAATGAAACATACCGACTTAAATATTTGTTGTCCCTGATGTCTCAGGCAGAATCATGGTTTGAGATTGTCAAGATCAAAGGCGGATTATCACGTAAAAAGACTACAGAGCAGGTAAAGACTTTGACCAGATTTCTACTATTTATTTTACCAGAGTGATAGCTAATATTTCTTATATCTGTGAAGGTTCCAATACACAAATATGTTTCTTGCTGGGACAAGTATTGGCAATTGTCATACATTCTTGGTCTTGATCTTCCTGAATTGTCAGAAAAATTGCAAAAAACGTTGGAATTCAAAGATTTTACAACAAAAGAAATACAAAATTTAGTCGAGGCATTGTTTGTTGATTCGCCTGATAGGAAAAGATTGATATCAACGCTAAGATAATCAAGTAGAAAAGTGACGTCACCGCACAATTTACCTGTCACAAATTTAAAAAAAAAAATTTTTTTTTTTTTTTTTTTACAATTCACTCTCATCTTTGATCATTAAAAAAAAACAACAATGACTATTCTGCGAATATGTTCCAAAGTTGTTGTGCCACTCAGTAATGTCACCTTTACAACAAACCATTTTTCACAGCAGAGACTCGCATCTTTACCGTTGCGCTCATTAATTGGTCGGCGATGGTATGCTACAGAGTCAACTGCTAGTGGAATGCAAATTGATCCAGCGGAATTGGTGCGTTATCTAGTCGATGTGGGATTATGATATACGTTACAGTGCGATCTGAGAATGCTTGAGATGATGTTATGCTAATCTTCATCCTAATTGCAAGCGATTCTGATTTTATACGATTTGAAACAATTTGAATTTTAATACGTGTATAATGATATAGAAACGACTTGAACGTCTTCGCAATATCGGCATTAGTGCACATATTGATTCCGGAAAGACGACCTTGACTGAACGCGTGCTCTACTATACTGGACGAATCAAGTACGAAAACACAATAATTGAAGCCATTACGATCTACATAATACGCTATGTGCTGATCACAGTTTCTTACACTACTCTTGTAATTTTATATTTTCTTTCGCCGTAACTCTGGCAGATCAATTCATGAAGTACGCGGTAAAGATGGTGAAGGAGCTAAAATGGATAGTATGGATCTGGAACGTGAACGAGGGATTACCATACAATCGGCGGCTACATATTGTAAATGGAAATGGGGTGACAAAGGAGACTATAATATCAATATAATTGATACGCCAGGTTAGTATGTTGCTAAATTTGCAATAATTGGACAAGAAATTACAAAAATATAGCAATTATCCTTGATTTAACGCGTCATTCATTTGCAGGACACGTTGATTTCACGATTGAAGTCGAGAGAGCGCTGAGGGTTCTTGATGCTGCTATATTGGTATTATGCGGAGTATCTGGAGTCCAGGTAATAATTTGGGTCAAGATAATTTAGTGGAGATTATCAATCAGGCGCTAATGTTTGGTTGTCAAATAGAGCCAAACTATTACAGTTGACCGGCAAATGCGTAGATATAACGTACCACGCATATCATTCATTAACAAACTTGATAGGTAAGAAAGACTATTCCATTATATCAAGAAACTCATTATATCTTTGGCGAATAATTTAATCTATTTATCAGTGACGCATCAATCTTCGGTTTAATGATAGAGTCGGTGCAAATCCTTTCCATGTAATAGACCAATTACGCCAGAAATTACGTATAGCAGCTGCGCCAGTACAAATACCTATTGGCACGGAACATGATTTTGAAGGAGTTGTCGATTTACTAAAATGGAAAGCCATCTATAACGAAGGAAATCGGGGGTAAGCGAACCCAATCTCGTAAGAATGTTGTAACTATTAGTATTAGCTAAATGCTTACATATTTACACGTTGACAGCGAAACCGTTGTTGAAAAAGATATTCCCGAGCATCTGATTCCGTTCGCAACCGAGAAACGACAAGAGTTGGTAGAATCTCTAGCTGATGTTGACGAAGAAATTGCCGAACTGTTCCTTGCTGAAGAAAAACCAACTTCAGAACAATTGATGGTGCGCAACTAAAATTTCCATGCATCAACCGAATTGACCATACAGTTGCTTAAGAGACCACTAAACACATGCATTACTAATCAGCCCTATCCCGTATGCTAACAATATTATTTCGTAACACATATCCGGCTTTTACAATCACTCTTCATACGACTGGAGGTCTGTAGGTCGCAATACGACGCGCCACTATAGCAAACAAATTTACGCCCGTATTTATGGGATCAGCAGTAAAAAATACAGGAGTACAATGTGTTCTTGACGGAGTGTGCGCATATCTCCCCAATCCGTCAGAAGTAGGCAACACGGCACTCGACACTCGAAATAACGAAGTGCCAGTAGAGTTACTTCCGTATTCGAAAAGTCCGTTCGTTGGTCTTGCCTTTAAACTAGAAGAAGGGAAGTATGGGCAGTTAACTTATGTCCGCGTGTACCAGGGAGCATTGAAGAGAGGATCCTTCCTTGTTAATACGCGAACGACGAAGAGGGTCAAAGTTCCTCGTTTGGTGCGAATGCACTCTAATGAGATGGAGGTAATTGGACAGAAATAGTGTTTTTGAAAGGGGAGGCGTGCGCGTTGCTACGGCTTTGATGTAATGGAATACGATAAGATGGGAAAATTTTGTATACTGTGTAGAAGAAATGAGGAAATGCAGACTCAAACCTGACTAAACCAAACGTTTTCCATCACAGGACGTTGATGAAGTGGGTTCAGGAGAAATTTGTGCCCTGTTTGGAATCGAATGTGCTTCTGGGGATACATTTACTGATGGATCAATTGCATACACCATGGTCAGTAATAATACCACAAGTCATAATCTATCCCGAAAAGAAATGCAAATTTATTGTTAATGACCGACAACAAAAAAAGTGTTTCCCAGTTGCGATCGCGTTTCAGTTCTAACGATACTCTTTCAAATGATAGACATCAATGTTTGTGCCGGAACCAGTAATCTCCCTCTCTATAGCTCCCAAAGCTAAAGAATCTGCCAACTTTTCCAAAGCACTCAACCGCTTCCAAAGAGAAGACCCTACATTTCGCGTTTCCATTGATCCCGAAAGCAAAGAAACGATCATCTCTGGTATGGGTGAACTTCACCTTGATATCTACGTCGAACGCATGAGGAGAGAATACAATATCGACTGCGTAACTGGAAAGCCTCAAGTTGCATTCCGTGAAACTATAACTAAACCGGCCAAGTTTGAGTATACACATAAGAAGCAGACAGGAGGTGCTGGTCAGTATGGCAAAGTCGTTGGACATATAGAGCCATCACCCAAACCGGCAGAGGGAGAGGAAGCGTTGCCTGACTTTGAAAGTCGAGTTGTCGGAGGAACCATACCTGCTCAGTACATTCCTGCTGTTGAGAAGGTGAGAATGACTGAGATGATTCGACACTGCGGGTCGCGATAACGACAGATGCTTATGGTCATTTTATCGGTGATAGTTATTTAGTCTTTGTCTTGTCTAATACATCTTTATCATAGGGCTTTAGAGACGGATTAGACAAAGGAACCCTAATAGGTCATCCAATGACTGGCATACGCTACATTCTTGAAGATGGAACACACCATCCGGTTGACTCTTCTGAACTTGCATTCAGACTTGCAGGGTTTTATGCGTTCCGAGAGGCATACGAAAAGGCTAGGCCAACTATTCTTGAACCGGTTATGAACGTGCAAGTTACATCTCCGATTGAATTCCAAGGAGCTGTAATCGGTAGCTTGAACAAACGAAAAGGCACCATTTTGGATACTGAAATCCATGAAGATTATTTCATTGTTAATGCTGATGTTACGTTGAACAGTATGTTTGGATATGCTTCTGAATTACGAGGAGCAACCGAGGTGATTATTTAATTCCATTATTGCCTGTTTTTTCTTAACCAACTTTCAATTGACGCTCTTTTTAATGTACTGAACAGGGTAAAGGTGAATTCACAATGGAGTATAAAACCCATCTGCCCGTGACCTCTGATCTTCAGGCAGAATTAGTTGCTGAATATAGAAAAAAGAAGACGGGCGAGAAGTCATGAATACATTGATAATATTTTATTCACTCAATCGATGACTGTATAGATAATAAATAGAGTCGACTTGTTACCAAGTCAGTTTCACGTCATGGGAATCTTGCGATTTTTATAGTTATAATCAATACTACTGAAATAGAAAATCGTACGTGGTCGGCTTTAGGATTACATATAGAAAAGTTATTACACTGATTCAAATTCTCTATCCCATCAATCGATTATTCATCCATTCCAACAAAGTTAAAAGCTTGGACACGATTCTCATTTCGGCTAAAGTCATCGCGATATTACATTTTATTAGATTGATGCATCTATTTTGAACCCTGTGTAAAAAACCGAGAAATTGATCGTTAAACCCCGAATTTTAATCAAAAACGAGATACGAATTGTTCAAGTGAAATTGACACCTCTTGTGCAGCGCTTTCTCTTTTGAGTTCTTTTATCATGGCCTGCGGTTATAATTAAGAGCATGAACTTAATCATATTGAATGTTAAAGAGCATTGAGAACATCCGAAGAACTCACGGCAAGAGCCTCTGGATTAACTCCATTCTCACACAAAGAGACACATAGAGACAATGTTTCTCTATCAAGGTTCGTATTCAACATCGTGGCTATTTCTTGTAGTACTTAAGTAGATGCAAGGTTAGAATAGTGTGCATCTCTAATAAATGTATAAAGTTATGAAAATTATAGGGCGCCTACTATTCATAACCTCTCGGGCTTCTTTTATCTTGGGATCTTCCATTTTGCGCGCAAAAGAGAAATAAAAGATTGTTACACACTACAGAATGGCTTTTTGTTTTAAAGTTGTACTGGCCGTGTAACTTGTTACACACACGTCTTTGTCGTGTTCTGGTTTTTTTTCCACACTAGTCCAAATTAGTCCATTGTAATCGACGATGATTTGAACGGCAGAAGTGTCAAGTCATTAATACACTCTTCGACTAAGGATTATTATTAGTTGTTCTAATAATAGTTTATTCTTGTGCGTCATTGTTGCTACACGGAAGTGTCTATTGCCGACAGGATGCCGGAAATAATTCGATTATCGGTGCAATATTAATTATTTAGTTAGATAATATAGTACAAGAATGAGAGTTTATACCTTGGCAATAGAAGGTATAAAGAGCCGCCTGCAAATTTTAGCTACGCCTTAATTGACGCGAGCGTGTAAGCAAGACCACGTTTAGAGCTAATATTCCCGGTCAATTTGAACGCAAACGCCCTCCCAGGTGAACGAACGCTTTTTTCAATAGCTGTCATTATATGATAAATTGTTCGGAAATCTCCATAAATGCAAACGCTTGATTCCAAGGCGCTGAGGTTTTACTGTATTTACTATCATGTCAAGAAAATTTAAATAGAAATGCAATACAGTAAAACTTGTTTATACAGTAAATAAGAATATACACAGTGAAATTCACTTTAACGAAGACATTTGCTCCACAATTTTGCTTCGTTAACCTGAAAGTTCGCTTAAGTGGACTGTCTTTTTATATATAATATATGAATCCGTACTTTCGTTATAAAGCGATCTTCGTTAAGTGAGACTTTGTTAAAGTGAATTTCACTGGTATATACAGTCAACTGCCGATAATTCGACTTGTACGTTAATTCGATCGACAACCTCGGAACGCAAGCCGTCGAATTATAGGCAGTTGACTGTACAACAAGACAAAGCTATTACAAATTTTAATTTATTTTTTTTACGGCCGTAATAAAGCGTTGACAAAATCAAAGAACATTCACAAAGTTAAAAATAAACAATGGACGTTCTTTGTTAACATAATAGACAGTTGATTGCGATAAGGCGTTGTTTGTTGCGATAGTCTTGAAACAAATCAGTAGTCATACAGTTAGACAAGTTCTTACTTATTGCCACAACAAAGCCTTGACAAAATACAAAGTTGACAATGGAAGTCTTTTTGTTATGTATAATAGGCAGCTGATTAAGACAGAATACAAACTGACTCTGATAATGATGAAGAGACTAGATGAATCTGTTTATTGATTTATTCGTAAAAATACATTTGATCGTTTACTTATTTTCGGAAGCAAGAATTTTTGGGGTGCTTACTTCGCAACTTGCGGAAAATCGAAAAGAAGCGTTAGACGCCACACATTCATCTTGGGATATAAAGGCTTGGAGCAGAGAAGCCAACCACACGAACAGGTATATTTTATAACCATCAGTGGAGAATTACAGTATATGAAATAAATGATGCGCAGTGTGACACAATAAGTGTTGAGGATTCTTCCACTTGAAAAAAATTTTAATTCAAACTATGTCTTTAACGTCAGGCCTGGTTGTTAATAATCCAGCAATTGACAACTTGGTTCAATCCTCCTTAAATAAACTTGAATGGATTCCTTGCTCCAAAATTACCGACATAACGTCAAGTCCAATGGACAACGTCTACTACGCTATTCGCAATGGAAAGGGAATAACGCTGGTATTACTTGGAAGTAGCGAAGAATGTACGCCAACAGTTGTGAGTGAGTTTGCTAGAATATACTCACTTCCAACACACAAGTACAACAATGACGTTAATCGGTTCAGAAGATATAAAGAATGGCTTGACAGTCGCAACAAGCTCATTTATGGATTTACCAAGTATGATAACAGCTATTACATGGTTGCCTATAGAAAGTTTTACCATTGTTATTCTCGATATGGATTCTGCACCGCATGTGGAATACTCCGATGTAGTCCCGTGTGGTGCATTTGTGGACATAAACAATTATCCGATGGATGGACTAGC